GAATTCCAATCTCGATTTAAGATCAAACAAATTGGGGAGTTTTATGGGTCTACTGAGGGCAATGTTGGGATATTAAACACTGAAAATGTTGTTGGTTCGTGTGGACATATATTCGCGATATTCCCCAGTCTACATCCGGCCAAGCTCATCCGCATTGACGCAGAGACTGGTGTAATAATGCGTAATAAAGATGGTTTGGCCATCCAATGCCAGCCGGGTGAGCCTGGGCACTTTGTTGGAAAGATTGTAGAAGATGGTAAGTATAYAGGATTATATAAACAATCTCAAGAAAACATTGTACAAAATAGACATTTTGGCTGTATATTCCGCTTTTCATTTTGATGGGAAAAAATAGAAATAACATTCGATATTCGGGAAGAAAGGTAAAAGTCAGCAAGCTGTTTCTTCTTCTTCTTCAGAAAAATCAATGTTTCGTTTTACTGGATACCTGAATAAGGAAGAAACTGCCAAGAAAATAGCTCGAAATGTCTTCACTAAAGGAGATAGCGCCTTTCTCTCTGGAGACGTAGTTATCAAGGATGACTATGGTAATGTCTACTTCCTGGATCGTTCGGGTGACACTTTCCGATGGCGCGGCGAAAATGTATCGACAACCGAAGTAGAGTCGATGATAACAAAAGCCATTGGTTTATATGACGTCGTTGTTTATGGAGTCAACGTTCCTCATACAGAAGGGAAAGCGGGCATGGCAGCTATTGCTGATCCAAATCAACGTCTTGAAGTTGGATCCCTCGGACGAAAGCTTGAGTCAGTGCTACCAGTTTATGCACGGCCACTGTTTGTACGCGTTGGACAGTCTGTTCAACTGACAGGAACATTCAAGTTTCAGAAAAAKAAGCTAAAGAAAGAAGGTTATGATATCCATGTAGTGAAGGATCGTTTATATTATTTTGATTTAAAATCAAAGKCTTATGTGGATTTGGATGAGAAAGCTTACAGTGCAATCATGAATGGTAAAATTAGAATCTAATAAAACGTAAGACGTGTGAGGCGTGCACGCCTTTAATATAGACTCAATAGTCTCGCACTGAACAAGTTTTCGAGGAAAACGGAGTCTTCTTGTTGAACCCAATTGAATTTGTTTTTGGAATAAAAAACACTATGAGCAAACTGAATGGCACGCCGTCCATTAGCCAAACACAGCTTGCGAGACTCCTCTTTGTATCCGGGCTGTTTGTATTATTAGTTGTGTCGGGCTAGAGTTTTTTAATTGCACTAGATAGACTTGCTGTCGGTTACAGTAATGTGGCAATAAAAAATGTTAACATGATGACTAAAGTTGATCAGTAACACCATCAAATATAAATTACATGCTAACTGTGTAGACCATTTCCCTCAAGTTAAGAAAACAAGCAAAACGAAAAATATTAAACATAACAGTTTGATAATTACTAAATTGACAAAAAAAAAAAAATACTAGAGTTCCTTGACGATTCTGGCGCCAATCTTGACTGATGTCTTGCTAGTAATTGAATTTAGCATTGATTTTTTTTGTTTGTTTTTTTGTAAAAACCGAATTAAAAAGATGGAAATGATATAGTTAATTTCTTTCTTATAGAAAGTGCATCAGTAAAACATGCTGTTCTTGCAGGTGACGCCATGAATGACAATGATCTATTGAATATTAATCACGGCTTTTACAAGAAAGAAAAAAAAGGATATTTATGTCTATTCCCTGATTGAGTTACTGCCGTGTCGTCGAAGCCATGACAGTACGCAGTCCTTGTTGGCGAGTAAAGTTATATGATATGCCTGCAGTCGGTTATTAGGGTTTTGCATTATTCATACTGCAAATAGAAATGAACAACTTCAATGAGAATTTTAACTTAATCATTTTGACATTTAAAAAAAAAACATGAAAATATATAAGTGGGAACTTTTTTGGAAAAGCGTAAACCGATAAAAACCTGTTATATAAACAAGTATGAAGTGACGTACCGAACTTCTTGTGAAAATACTGACACCAACAAGAAATACAGGGAAAAAACTGGTTCTCTAAATCGCCAAACCAGTTTGACAATATAAATTTGCATAAATAAGCATTTATTTGCATAAATTAGTGTAATGATATATAATTTTACCGAAAGCCACCAATCACATTGTAGAATTGTAGAAATGRCTCAAAATTTACATAAATTATCCCTTATATGGTGATGGTGAGCGAAAAGACGAGGGAGTAGAGATTTTGGTACGCATACATAGRAATACAAAATGGCGGCAACGGGGAGTAGTATGAAGAGCGCCGAAAATGGATTAAACAATGCCAAACACACATCAGTAGTAATTTTGGACAGTGATGAAGAAGAAGAACAAACAACAAGCGAACTTTTCCAAGGATTTATCACAGCTGTACAGCCGTTTTTAGAACGCAAGGAGATTCTTCTACTTCGTGTTAAGTTCGCTGAGATTCGCCCGGAATATGCATCCTGCCCAATGTTCCGCGAATTGCTGCGTCGCAAAGCAAGTCAAGTGCATAGAACTGATGTTTACATCCATTTTAATGATGTATTAAAGACGCTTATCAGCAATACAGCGTTATATGGAAGAAATGCTGCGAAACAACATCGAGACTACGAATTGAAAAGTATTAGTGAGTSCACTTCCGATGCTAAAACAGAATCAAACAGGGAAGACAAAATCGCGACAGTGGCGGGTAAATTTGAAACAGATCGACAGGGCGCTTATCATTTAACATCTAAACCAGAAACATCAGCTCAATCAGACGACTCAGGACAAATAGAAGTCCAAATTGTCGATTTAGATGATCAACCAAGTTCGCAGRAATTTGTTCCAAAACATCCCATTRCCAAAAAGTCCAAAAATCTGTCAGAGGAAGTCCAACAAGATAATATTCGTAAACAAAACAGAAAGAAAAAAATAATGAAACTGGAAAGAAAACTGGAATATATCTCGAATGAAATTAAGAGGCTTTCGCAGAGCGAGTTGAGTCTGGAGGAAATGGAGCTAGCAGACAGTAACTACATGAAAGAGTCCAGATTGAAAGAGCAGTTCAACAAAATTTGGGAAAAAATCTGCATGCTTAAAGAAAGACCGCCAGATACTGGGAGAGTAGTGGAACAGGAAGTCAAAGTCAAAGGGACAAATTTCCCAGCAATTGACAAGGCTGTTAGAAAGTTTTTGAGGAAAAAGAGAGGATTCCCAAACATCTTTGATATYCGTAACATTGTAATCAGAGCAAACAAAAAGTGTGGATTGGGACTGACTCCGAGTGTCGTGCAAGAAATTGCAGCAGATGTTTTTACCGATATTGGAAATAAGATACAAAAGAAGAGAAAGAAGGAYTATGAATATAACTTTGGCTGTCATTTGACTGACAACTGTCTTTCTAGTCTAGATCCTGCTCTGAATGATAATGACCTCAGGAGAAAGCTTGATGAAAACAAGAAGGTTAGCCAAAGTGCGCTAGAGGGTATTTTTCAAAAGTATGTTCATCTAGATAGAATWAAGGGACAAGAAAACAACGATTCAACACCGTGTAACAGTGATTATGAAAGCAGTGATGATGAGACCTATGTCAGAAAAAAGACCAAAAAAAGAAAGTCAGATTCTTTGGATTCTAGTGGCAGCGATCTTGAGAAGAAAGCAAAAAGAAATAAACGGCAAACTGCTACAGTCGRATCCACCTCTGAAGTTAACGTCCCTGACATCAAACCACATCTAATACCAACATCTTGCAATAACAATTTAGTGAAGCCTTCATGTTCTGGTTTGTCACAGAGCACATTAAATACATCTAGACATAAGAGCATTGAAAGCATTGAGATTATTGATGAYGACGACGAGGATCTCACTGTTGTAAGCAATCAGGAGTGCATCTCAGAAAACAATAACAGTACATGTCCAAGTAATCCATTAAATCATCCAAGGAGTAGTAGCAACACCAATGAATCATCTATAGAACTTCCAACTTGTAAYGRATCTCTGAATCATATTGATRACACAAAAAGTCTCTTAAATACAAATACGTCAACATCAGTTCMTAAAAAGCCTATGAGTGGCATCAACAGATCGGCGAATCTTGAAAACCTTCCTGGAGATTCTGGTGAACTTTTGATTAATTCAAATCTTKCAAATGGAATTGAACAAGCAGTAAATGATAATCAAAATGCGGGAGCTGAATTATCTGTGACARGAGATRACWATTTTGTTATCAATACAATGCAAAGAGACCAACCACAGAACACAAAAACTGCAGAAAACTCTCTTGAAATGTCTGAGTCTAGAACATTAAGTTTGGACACTTCTCTGAAGAGAAATAATTCMATTCCAACAAGCAAMGTAAAATTGAACACTTCAAAACTTCATCTCAAGATACTTCAGTTGAGAGACAAAAAATTGTCWGATCTCAGTAAAACATCAAACCCTAAATCAAAAGAGGAGCCRAACTTAACAAGTTCTGTCAMTGATTCTAGATGCCATAAAAGRAAATCATCATCTCCACATCATATTCAAGATCAYGTTTATGTAAATGGCTGTAATCCTTYGACATCCAGTCAGCAATCTGCARTGTCTGGTGGTAAAAATGCTATGAACGCCAGCGTCACTAAGACAAGCTCTAGCACTAGCTGTAATCCTTCAACATCCAGTCAACAGCCTGCATTCTCTGATGGTAAAAATGCTATGAATGCTAAAGCTCCAGAGAACGCCAGTGTCACTAAGTCAAACTCTAGCACTAGCTGTAATCCTTCAACATCCAGTCAACAGCCTGCATTCTCTGATGGTAAAAATGCTATGAATGCTAAAGCT